GGTGGCCACGGGCTGTTCTCGGAACGCTTCTGGCCGGGACTGTCTTGTTTTATAACGCATCGGGCTCATGTTCTGAAAACCTTGCTTTTGTCATTCAAATATTCTTGGGTTATGAGAGAATTTCGTGGTTGGCCTCACAGAGGCCCCCGTCTTCACAGTATAGGGATGATCTGGGCGGTCTGGCCCGGTGCACCTGCAGAAGAGACCCTCCCAGCCCAAATGTTTCTGGCCCTGCCAACTTAGGTTTAAGTCGAGCATGTCCCTCTACAGGGATATTCAAAAATAGTAAAAAAATAGTATGGGGACTATTTTTTTAGCATTCTTGTTAATATTTATGTTTTTCTGGTATTGTAAATTTTTCGTCCAAAATCCCCCTGTAGGGGGACAGGCCCGAATTAAACTTAGGTCCCCTCCCACAGGGTTAGGGGTCTTGTTTTGGATAATCACAAGAGACGGGGGTCAATAAGCAGTGGGAAGCCGACCCCAGCCCCCACAACCCTCGATTTTGGATGTCAGCGTTTTGCAAGTATGGCGAGTGTGCGTAGGTGTAGGCGCCCTGCAAGCGAGGTCATTGCCAGCTGCCGCAGGGGGGCCGCGCGCGCGGTCTAGTTGGTCTAAAGTTCCTCATGTGGGGGGTGGGGGGCGGTTTTCGTGCGTTCAGTCCTGCGCCTGATCTTGCATGATCCTGCAGGGCTGGGGGTGCCCTGACCCAGGCCACACAGGATCTTGCAGGATCCTGCAGGATCTTGCAGAATCCTGCAAGGCCTGACTGACCCGATTTTGGATTGGCCCGGGTCAGTAGGTTCCCGAGGTGCCTCGAGTCGGGGCCCACGCGGCTTGGCCACGCGCAGAGGGGGGGTAGAGTCGGACCGAGGTACAAGCTCGAGGTCGGCTCGGGAAGGGTGCCCTGGTGTTCTTCGCGCTCGTTGGAGGTTCTTGTGCATCCTTGGGGGAGGGCACTCTCGACCGCTCTTCCGTTTGGCCGGCGGAGGATCTCGTCGGCTGCGCGTAAGAGAGTAGCCTGTCGCCGGAGTGAGCCCTGGTGCGGGCCAACGGGCCCCCCCGATCGCAGAGAGCGCGCCGCGGCAGACGCGGGCTGCGCGCTTGCTCGGGGCCTCCTCGCGCCTCCCTTAAAAGTCGCGCACCAAAGGTCACTCTTGCCCAGAGTCTCCTCCTCCTCCTCCTCCTCCTCCTCCTCCTCCTCCTCCTCCTCCTCCTCCTGGTCGTCGTCCTCCTGGTCGTCCTCCTCTTCCTCCTCCTCCTCCCTCCTCCTGGTCGTCCTCCTCCTCCTCCTCCTCCTCCTCCTCCTCCTCCTCCTCTTCCTCTTCCTCCTCCTCTGCGCAGAGCCGGGCCCGGCCACGCGCAGAGGGGGGCAGGGTGGAAGAAGGCGAGGAATCTCTGGACGTCGCGTGTTGATGCTTATTGTGCCTCCTGGGGCATCCTCATGGCCCCGCCACGAGCAGAGGGGGGTAGGGGGAGAAGGCCTGGCCTCGTAGAAGCACCCCTGCTTCTTGGAAGGCGCGGGACTTAGCTGTAGAGGTAGGGCCGGTGCCTTCTAAGAAGCAGCCTCTTTCGAAGAAGCCTTCCCTCAGAGCCCCGAATCATCAGGGGTAACTCGGGTCAGGGATAACTCGGGTTCCTTTTTCGGGAATCCAAACCCGAGTTACCCTGGACCCGAGTTACCCCGGACAACTCGGGCGCCCAGAGCCCCGAATCATCAGGGGTAACTCGGGTCAGGGCTAACTCGGGCTGGTTTTGTCGGGATTCCGAACCCGACTTACCCCGGACCCGAGTTACCCCGGATAACTCGGGCGCCCAATTCGCCCCCCGACCCCGGCCCCCCTGGGCGCGCCGCCAAGCGTCGGAGGTCAGCCTAGCCCCTCCGAGATCCGCTGGCTGACCCCGGGGTTTCGGAGCCACCTGGAGCCTCTTTCGAAGAAGCCTTCCCCCCTCCCCCGGACCCCCTGTGCGCGCTGCCAAGCATCGGAGGCCAGCCGAACCTTTCCGAGATCCGCTGGCTGACCCCCGGGGGGTTCGGACCCACCCGGAGCCGACCCCGCTCCCCCCCGCCCGCCGCCGACCGGGGCTCGGGAGAGATGTTTCGCGGCAGGATGGGGTTCGCGACGTGGCCTCGGCTGCCCCGTGTGTGCACTGACCTTCAGCGAGCGAAGAGCTGTATAACATAAACTTTTTCGCTGTCGGGGGCGCCTGTCCCAGGGCGGCTGGAAAGTTTATCTTATACCGTTCTTCGCTCGTTAAGACATGGTGGTACCCCGAGGGCCATGTGATACATTGGGGGCACATGAAAAAACACCACCCTCTGTTTTGTCAGGCTCCCTGGGGTTTCTTCGTCTTGCGTTCTGCGTGGAAGGTCGCCGCCATATCGAAGAAACTACAACTGTCAGCGCGCCCTGGGTTTCTTGGGCGTCGGTGCGTTTGGGGGCGCGCGCCCGAACATACAAGAAACTTCTGGGCATTCAGGGAGGCTCGCATGTTCGATCGCCTTGGGCTTCTTGGAGTCAGATTGCGTTACGTCGGCGGTCAAGAGACCGCTCGGTCAGGGTACCCTTGGCTGTTTCGTCTGCAGCCGGAGTGCGAGAAACCCAATGAGAAACCTCGGCGGTGTTCACAGGGTTGGAATAGCCTCCACTGTATCACACTGCCAGACATCCGGCCGCTCCAATTTTTATCAATGCGTGGGCGCCGGAGGTCTGGACCACATCCCCAGGGCCGGTGATTCCTGAGTCGTTCTTTGACGCTCCCGAAGGCCCAGCGAGGGCCCCCGGAGGCCGACACCGGCCAAAGTCCCGCCGTTCCAATGTGTTTGGAGCGTCGGATCTCTGGGCTCGCGCGAGGCGAGCACGCCATGCTCCCACAGCTGCGTGCGCACGCCAGCTGCCCGCGGGCCATGTGGGGCGCTCTCGCCTGCCCGGAGAGCTGGGATGTCGCGGGCGGTTTTTCACTCCGCAAGTGCAGCATGGCGTGCGCGGGCCCCAGAGCACGACACATCGCATCGATCCCAAGACAAACCACACACGTGTTCGCAGCAACGCGTCTGCGCAGCGAATAGTATCGCGTCGCCGTCGACACACACACGCACACACACACATGCCAAAAGACGCGCCAGTCATGCAAGTATACAAGAAAGTGGGCGTTTACGAAACGGACCTGGGCGTTTACTAAACAGCCCTGCCCTGTTCGATTCCTTCCGTGGATGCGTTTCCTCGATCATACGAGGGTGGAGTTGTGCCTCCCTGGCGAGGGGTCTTGGAATTCTAGGGCAGCCTTCCCAGACCCCCGACGTCGTGATTTTTTCACAGCGTCTACCCCCCGAGGTCTGGACTCCTTCCCCGGGACCCGTTTCTCCTCCCGAGTCGTTTTGTGGTTGTCCGAAGGCCCCGCGAGGGCCTCCAGACTCCGACAATGTTGAAACACCTCATGTCGCGATATGCCTTCACCACGCGAGAGGCTCTGGCTTCTCTCCTCCCCCCGAGCCAGTATCGGATGGAGGAGAAGCGACACCAACACCAACAGGGAGGCCATCTCCAGCCAGGAGGTCCACGATGCCTCCCAGGGCTGGAGGCTGGGGATGTCTCGAGCGAGAGGGGGGGACCACAACACCAGGGAGACCCCCCTTGCCTCCTCGCATCTCCTTGCCCTGGTGGTGTTGGTGTCGCCTTTCCTTTGTTCCTGCTGTAACCCCTCTCCCCCCCCTCCCCTTTGGACGCCCGCAATGGGTACTGAAGGAATGGGCACAATGCCCAACAGCAGTTCCTGCTTATTCTGAACTGGACTCGCTGTCGGTGTCGCCGCGGCCTGTGTCCATCTGAGACAGAAGGCCGCCGGCCCAACAGCGGCCGCTGTTGGTTTGGGACAACATTTGTTGTTGGGCATTGTACCCATTCTTTCCGTACCCATTTCTTCGGGCGTCCAGAACTCACCAGCCTGGAACATATCCCTATCCCTAAGCTGGGCATCGCCTCATCATAATGCCGATCTTATGTATTCCCTTAGTTTCTCAGGGCGCATCCCCCAGATTGCCATCGCCTTTTTGGCGTGTCAATCTTAGGGATAAGGATAAGTTCGAGGCTGGTGAAAAAAACAGGACTTGCATCCGAAGAGGGAGGCCCCTGGCCACTCGGTGCCCATCCTTTCCGCACCCATGCCGGGCGCCCAAATCTCCACGCAGGTGCAGGACGGCGAGGCGCAGCAGCGCCAGGCGCGCGTGGACGCCGAGGTGGCCAAGGTCCGGGCCGAGATCCGGGCCGCCAAGGACCGGCTGGGGACATTTCAATGACGCGAAGATCGGGACAAAATCGGATCGGGATAACTCGAAATCTCTGAGAATCGGCGGGTTTGGAGGATGTATGGGGCGCCGCGGCCGCTCCAGAGCGTTCCGGAACGCTCTGAGAGCGCTCCGGAACGCTCTGGAGCGATTTATCCCGATCCTAGCCCTGTTTTAACATTGGCCAGGCACCGGCACCAGCGTCGGCCAGGCCTGAGCCTGCAGGCATCCTGCGGCCCTCCCAGGTGGGGTCGAGGAGGGGGTGGAGGAGGAGGAGGAGGAGGAGGAGGAGGAGGAGGAGGAGGAGGAGGAGGAGGAGGAGGAGGAGGAGGAGGAGGAGGAGCAGGAGGAGCAGGAGGAGCAGGAGGAGCAGGAGGAGGAGGAGGAGGAGGAGGAGGAGGAGGGGGGGAGCAGCAGGAGGAGCAGGAGGAGCAGGAGGAGCAGGAGGAGGAGGAGGAGGAGGAGCAGGAGGAGCAGGCGGAGGAGGAGGAGCAGGAGGAGGAGGAGGAGGAGGAGGAGGAGGAAGAGGAGGAGCAGGAGGAGCAGGAGGAGGAGGGGGGAGGAGCAGGAGGAGGAGGAGCAGGAGGAAGAGGAGCAGGAGCAGGACAAGGACCAGGAGCAGCAGCCCATACAGAACAGAAAAGAGGCCCAGGCGAGTTGCTTTGGCCAGGGACGTGTAGGAGCAACCAGTGGAAGAATCTAGGCCTCCCAGGTGGGGTCGGAGCAGATGGGGTTGGAGGATCGCGCCGCGTCGCCGATGCAGCTGCGAGATGCGGCTCGATGTGGAGCCCTTTTCTCTCCATGCCGACGTCGGCGATGCATCGCTGACTTCGCTGGTGCATCGGCGATGCATCGCCGACGCAGTGGCGATGCAGTGGCGATGCAGTGAGATTCTCCGACCATATCTAGGCACTCGGACCCCATCTAGGAGGCCTTTTCCTTCTCACTTCCCCCCCTTCGCTCGCCGCCGACTGAAGGGCAACGCGATTTGCGGTTTTGTATAAGGCCCCGGGGGCAGCGCGTAGGCTGTGTCGGGTCTTGCGAGAAAGCACACAGATGGGCGCAGGTCGTCTTGCTTCGGGATGCTATCGAGCAGTATTGCGCCTCGCCGAGAGTCGAAGAACAACAAAAACACTGTAAACATATTTTTGCGGCGCCCTGCGCGGATGCTCCGACCTGCGCAAGCTGGTGGTCAACTGGGACACCGGCTCCTACAAGGACCGGGCAAGGGGAACCTCAGGCAATGGAGTCCGAGTCCATGAACCCATAGCGAACTGATGATCGGCACAGGCGTGCGAAAGGCAGAATGGTTCATGGACTTGGGGCCCACTGTTTGGGATTCCATTCGCCCCCGGAGGAACCCAGCGGGTGCTTTTCGGTCCTGGTCTCCTCCCAACCGCACAAGACGAAGTGGAGCCAGGACACGGCGATCGGCAACAGGGGCGACGTAAGGAAGATATTGCGCGGCCGCGTCCAGCAGTTGTACGAGGACTACCTGCGGCGTCACCGAGCTGGTCGAGAACCTGGGCGCGAAGGCGCGCTACGACAGGACGTTCACGGCAGCCAAGGACGGTGAAGGCCAGAGTGTTGAAATGCAGCAGTTGGCGCATGAGTGCCCATGAAATTGACTGCGGAGCCTGGCGCCCGCAAGCGTGAAAAAATACCTGTTTAACCGTGGCCTGATTTCGAAACCACTTCATGGAGCTATGTGCGCGAACTGCTGTAATCCAATAGTCTTTCCAAGTGCGCAGGCGCGCAAGACGCCGTTCCCTGGCCGCTGGGGCGATAGCCAGACCAGCGCCTTCAGCCGCAAGGTCTTCGACGTATCCTTTGGAAGCGTTGGGGGGCGCACCGCGCGTAACATCCTGTCCAAAGAGTTCTCGTCGAACGCGCCCAGGTTCGAGGTGGGCCCAGCTGCAATCCGCCAGCAGCCCCACCACTCCGAGGAAATCCACGACGAGGTTGGGGGTCTGACATACAATGGCACGTGGACATTCGCCCGCGGCCTTGAATTGGAAACGGGCCCTGTCGCAAACAAGGGGCTTGACGTATAGATGCTTCGCGGGTCTGTTTTCAATTTGGTCCGCGAGCGGTTGCCCATGCTCCGCTGCGTGGACAGCCTTTTAGAAGGGGTGCCTCCGCGGTCTCCGGGACAGCGTCAACGCGCTGCAGATGCGCGTGTTCCGCCGGCGAAGGTCGGGCAGCTGGGCCCTGGGGGCGCGCGGGGGAACCGGCCGTGAGCTGGGGATTTTCCTGGCCAGGGCTGTCTTTGAAAAAAGCCGTTCGGCAGAACGCCTCCGCGCTCTCCTGTAGCGCAATCGCCTTCCCAGGCCCACTGCGCCCCCCCTGCGAACGGCCACCGCGGGCGCGCTGCGAACCTATGCCGCCCCCGGCGCGGGCGCTCGCCAAGGTCGGGGAACTGCTTGCTCTCTAGGGGCGCGCGCGAATGGGTTCGCTGGGCCGAAAACTACAGCGAGAGAGGAGCGCCGCGTTCCAACGCCAAGTTTTTTTGGGGCAGTTCCGCGGGCCCCGTCAGCGCGCACTTCTGCGGCGCAATTGCCTTCTCTGGTCTACTACGGCGGCTTCCCGAAAGATATCCACTGACCCGGCGGGGTCGCTTTTGGCGCAGCGGCTTCCCGTCGCGGGCGCCTGCGCCCAAAAGGAGCGCGAGACGTTGGGGCGGGCCAGCGTCCACTCTCCCCCTTCTAACTACGGTTCCTCTCTCTGTGCATGTCTCGTCCTTTTCCTTATCCCTGTTCATGGGGGCCTTCCTTTTTCTTTCTGCTGCCGTCAGTGTCCTTCAGTTCCTTCCCCGCGGCCCCTGTCTCTTCTCCTTCTCCTCTCTCCTATTCTGCATTCCTAGAAGTTGTCCTGGGATCGGTGGCCTGGGGCCCTGGGGCCCCCGGGGCCGCGTCGATTCCTGGCAGCGACGAGCGGGGGCGGCATCCCCGCGAGACCCTCTCGTAAAGCCCCACGGCTATACAAGACCATACCTGGCGGAGCTTTGCCATCGGGGGGGGGGGGGGGGCCTGCGAGACGCCAAGAGACACTGAATCGACGCACCGGTCGCGTGGATCAGGGTGCATGATCCTGCGGGGGTAGTTGTTTCATGGTCTCGGGTCCACGATCCGATTGGTCGCGAACCAAAGCCAAAACGCGATGCCGCGATCTCCTGCTGTTCAACATGCGTTCTTTTCCTGACGCCCCCCCTGTCGCAATCCATTTGTCGACCGAGCCTTGGCGCACAGGAGCCACCCGGTGATGCCCTTGAGCTTGGAGGCTGTTCGGGGGCGGTTCTGGGCCCAGTCGCTTCGTGGAACGAGCTGGCCGAGCAAAGCGGGACCTGGGGTTGGGCAGGGTCTCGCAAGGCAGTCCTGGAGCTGCTCGAGGTAAACAGGACAGAACAGGATTCCGATTTAGTAAGTTCGCGCGCCCCAGTCCATGAACCCATTGGCCAGGAAGCTTTTGAGTAGGTTGCTTCGGGCTCTGCCCAGAGCAGGTAGCTTCGGCCAGCACCTGGAGCCAAGCAGGGCTGCCGCGCAGAAGGTAGAGCAACGCAAAACCAGGCGCGCCAGAACCTGGAGCTGAGCAAGGTCCTGCCCCAAGGCCGAGCGGCGTTCCTGGCCAGTGGGTTCCTTGGCCCCAGTCACTGAGCCCGCTGGCCAGGAAGCCTTGGAGTAGGTAGCTTCGGGCAGCCAGAGAAGCGCCCTGCGCGGTTTCGAGCGACCCAGGGAAGCGCGCTGGCAGGTAGCTCCGGCCAGTACCCGAAAAAAAGGCTGGGCCAAGCAGAACTTGCCAGGCACGCAAAATCCACAAACAGTCGATTCCCACGGTTTGCGGACAGGCTCGCGCGTCGGGGAAACCAGACCACCCTACGCAAAGGTCCGAAATGGTCGACTCCCACGGCTAGCAGGCTCGTGGACCCCAGTCCATGAACCTACTGGCCAGGAGGCCGTGGATTGGGTAACTTCGGCCTGCCCGAGGGAGCAGGGCCCGCCCCTGGCGCGATCCGCCCACCAGGGGTAGGGGCTCAGCGCATATCCAATAACTCCGCGCGGAGCGCATAAGTTTAGGTTTATGGCGCTGTTTATTTTTATTATTATTATTATTTTTCTTCTTCTTCTTCATAGTATTATTCTTATGTGTTCTTCTTCTTCTTCTTATTGTTATCATCCGTCTTCGTCTTCTTCTTCTAGAGGGGCGTCTGGGGGTGCCTGGATCGTCCCGGACGGCTGCCAGAGACCCGAAATAATCGGGGGTGGACAGAACCCCACTTGTGACACGTCGTTTAATGAATTGTTCGTTTTCGGGTCTCGAGAGGGCGCCGCGGCCGTCATTTTCCAGCTTCGTTGTGCCCGCCAGTTTTGGGCCCAAGGTCGTTTTCACTAAACCACGTTTTGCGAAAAAGGGGGTTTTGTCCATCCCCGAGATATGGCCCGAAAGCCAGACGACTAGGAGTTTCGAGGGGGACAGGCGCAGTGAGTGAATGCATCGACCCCCAATGGCCCATTCATCGCCGATGGGGTTGAGTCGGGCGTGTCCCTCTTACAGGAGGTATAAATAATATATTCAAAAATCATGAAACAATAGTCTGGGGACGATTTTCAGGGGGACTATTTTGGGGTATGCGTTGGCTATCTTGAAATTTCCGTCCCAAATCCGCCTGTAGGAGGACATGCCCGACCTAGCGATAGGGGCCCGAAAGCCCACCAGACCCAGGAACGTGCGGATTCGCCCTTCCTATCGCCGATCGATCGGCGATGTACCACCGTTCGCCCGGTTTGGGCCACCCGGGCCCTCAAGGATCGATCCAGCTCGAGAAACGTCACAACAAAATTGGGTCCAGAGCTTCGGTTGTGATTCCTCTCGTTTCGCGGGGTGCACGTCCAGACCGCGGAGAACACGGGCGTTTCGTGTCTCTTCGAGTGTGCACAGTCGAGTTTTTGTGGCGACTCCTGCGCACCTCCTGGTGGCGTTTTGGGTTACGTCGGGCCTGTCCTTCTACTTGAGGAATATTCAGAAGTAGTAAAAATAGTACGCGGACGATTTTTTGTTTTGGTTATGTTGGGGTGTATTTGGATTGTTGCTCCTTTTCCGTCCCAGATCCGCCTGTAGGAGGACATGCCCGACCTAGCGACAGGGGCCCGAAAGCCGACCAGACCCAGGAGCGTGCGGATTCGCCCTTCCTATCGCCGATCGATCGGCGATGTACCACCGTTCGCCCGGTTTGGGCCACCCGGGCCCTCAAGGATCGATCCAATTCGAGAGTACGCCGCATCAGAATTGGGTCCATAGGGCTTCGGCTGTGACTCCTCTCGCCTCGCGGGGTGCACGTCCAGACCGCGGAGACAACGGGCGTTTCGTGCCTCTTCGAGAGTGCACAGTCGAGTTTTTGTGGCGACTCCTGCGCGCCTCCTGGGGGCGTCTTGGGCCGTCTTCTGGGGGCGCGCTTGCGCCCACTGGAGCGCTGTGTGGATCCTTTGGGGCGCCCGCGCGCGGGCCTCCTCCAGAGCCTCGCGGGGCCTCGACTTGTGATGCTCCAACCTACTGCAGCCTGGAGCACCAGAATGAGTTTCGAACGCCAGGAAAACACCCCCAAACTCGAGGGTTTCAACGTGTCGGGCCCTGGGAAACACTCTTTCGGCACTCTTTCGACACCTCTCTGGGTCCTCGAAATTATTTCCGAGATCTTAACTACGATGGGGGCAACATATGCCTCGACGGGCAATTGGGTCCAGAGCTCCGGTTGTGCTTCAGAGGCCTGCGCCGTGCCACTGGCCCCCAAGAGGAGGCAGGTGTGGCTACCGCCGCCTTCTGTGCTGCTTTTGTGCCGCTCCCCGCTGTGCTGCCTGCGTGCGGTGTTAAGTTGGGCGTGTCCCTCCACAGGAGGAATGTTCAAATATGGTCAAAAATAGTATAAGGGGGCGACGGTTTGACCATTCTTTGTTATATCTACAAGTCAATACATACGTATATATACACATATACACACACATTTACATTTACATATGCATATACATATACATATACATATACATATACACATATTTGGCTCACGTTGATTTTTCGTTACAGAACCCGCCAGTTTGTGAACATGCCCGACCTAAGTGCAGGTGTTGCTGATTTGGCCCCCTCTTCCTCCACGCCTGTCGCGGGGCTCCCTGGGGGCCTCCTGGGGGACGCGGTGGCGGCCACGCGGGAGCCTGCTCGGGGCTTGCGGGGGGCTTTTGAGGGGGGGCGCTCGTGGGGGCAGCTTGTGGGCCACCTTGTTGGTGCCGTGGGGCGATCTTGGGCCACCTTTGGGGCCTCGTTGGGCGTGTTCGGGCCATCCCGTGTGAGGTTGGACATGCTCTCCTACAGGCAAACTTTGGGGCCGTGGAGCGGTCTTGGGCCACCTTGTTGGGGCCGTGGAGCGATCTTGGGCCACCTTTGGGCCCTCGTTGGGTGTGTTCGGGCCATCTCGTGTGAGGTCGGGCATGCTCTCCTAGAGGTGGACCTTGGACGCTAAATCCAAAATGAGCCAACATAGATGCAAACAAATCGAAACGTCGTCCCCAGAGGCACCGGCCCGACGCAAACCTTGGGCCATCTTTGGGGCCTCGCTGGGTGTGTGTTGGGCCACCCCGTGGGGGGCGGCCCCCGCTGCCCCTGCGGGCCACCCCTCGTCAGCACGCTTGGCCATCGACAGGCCCGTCTCTGGGTCCTCCAGGGGGGCCACATGGAGTTCAAGACGGACCAGAAGGCCCCCCGAGAGGGCCCTTAGAGGGCAAGGCCCGGATCGACCAGGCGTCCTGGCCGGCCAACCTTCAAGAGATGACCTCCACCGATGACGACGAGGCGGCAGGCGGCCAGTTCTGGGGCCGCCGTGCCGTTTTTTCCGGCTCCCGGAGGAGGAGGAGGTGGAGGAGGAGGAGGTGGAGGAGGAAGAGCAGGACGGCTCGGGTTTCGGCTCCCGAAGGAGGAGGAGGAGGAGGAGGAGGAGGAGGAGGAGGAGAAGCCGGCGGAGGAGGAGGAGGAGGAGGAGGAGGAGGAGGAGGAGGAGGAGGAGGAGGAGGAGAAGCAGGCGGAGGAGGAGGAGGAGCAGGAAGAGCAGCGGGAGGACATGGCTGGGGACAGCGGCCAGGGACCGGCACCGGCGTCGGCCAGGCCTGTGCCTGCAGGCATCCTGCAGCCCTCCCAGGTGGGGTCGGAGGAGGAGGGGAGGAGGAGGAGGAGGAGGAGGAGGAGGAGGAGGAGGAGGAGGAGGAGGAGGACGAGGACGAGGACGAGGACGAGGACGAGGACGAGGACGAGGACGAGGACAAGGAGGGAGGGAGGGAGGAGGAGCGAGGAGGAGGGAGGAGGAGGGAGGAGGAGGGAGCTCGGGCCGCCTGGGCCCCGTCGGGAGGCGGCCCGTCTGGGAGGGCCTCGCAGGCCGCCTCGGGCGTACAGCAACACCAGGGCGAGAACTCGGAGGTTGATAGACCTCCTACCCTACCACGTCGATTCGTAAATTGGCCGTTTTCGGTTCGCGAGAGGGCGTCGCGGCCGTCATTTTTGCGGGTCCAGGTCCGTCGGTTTCGGTCCCAGGTCGTGTTCATTGAGGGGAGGTTCACTATAGGGAGGTTTGCCCACCGCCGAAGAACAAGAAGATGCCAGACAGCACAGAAATATGCATGGTGGGACATACAGTCAACCCGCACAGGAAGGATGAGCAAGTTTTCCAAAGCCAACCCGCATAGGAAGGATAAGCAATTTTTCCAAGGTTACGCTTGCATCCTCACATTCTGCCTTGCGCCCTCAGGTATCGAATCTTCGAGGATCGTGAGGATGGCCTTTCAAGGCCCTTGCATCCTTACCGCGCATCCTTGCTATACGGGTTGACTGTAAGTCGTGCTTGTATCTTGAGGCCCTCTTCGTGGTCCTCTTGGGGGTCTCTCTCTCTCTCTCTCTCGGAGCGTGTCGAGGGCCTTCTGGGCCGCCTTGTGTTAAGTCGGGCCTGTCCCTATGGAGGCGGAATATTCAAAAATGGCCCAAAAATGATAGGGGGACGATTGTTGACAATGTTTGGGCCTTTGTTTGGAATTTGTTATCTTCAAGTTTCGTCCAACATCCCCATCTAGGGGGACAGGCCCGACCTAAGCCTTGTGTCATCTTGGGTCTGCTTGAGACCTCTCTGGCGAGCTGGAGCCCTTTTTGCGCCATCGTCGAGGGCGTCTCATCGGCATCTTGGCCACGGAGGGTGGATTGGAGGCCCGGCGCGCGCTGAGCTGCCGCATCGACTTGTGAGGAAAACGAACAAGTGAGAAAGAGGATGAGGGACAATCAGGAGCAGCCGTAAAAAGGAGGAGGCGACGATTATGTTCAGTCGCCTCACTTCGGTTCCTTTTGACCTAATGGTGTGTACATGGGCGTAGTATCCTAGGTGCCGAATGCTCGTGGGCAAGGTGCCCACTAGCACGGTCAGATTTTTTTTTTGCGCCCCCCCCCTCTGACACGATTTGGGACCCCACGGCGGGGCTCGCCTCGGTTCTTGCGATGTTCGACTCGATTCGATTCGCCTCCGATCACTTCCGATTCGGAGTCGATCCGATTTGGGATGCCGATTCGGGCTGCGTTTTTATCACCGGAGGCATACAGTGCCGTTTTTAATACTTGCTCCGCGTGCGGATCATGTATGAAAATGCAGGGATTCAGCATTAAAAACAACGACGAGTTCATACATACATTTATTCATAAATTAAGTATGTATTTTAAATCATATATATATATATATTCAAAATCCTATGTATTAAAAACTGTCCTGTACTAGCCTGCCGATTTCCGTCGATTCGACTTGTCCTGGCTCGGCTGCCGATTTCAGCCGATGGGATTCAGTTCGATCGCCGATGCGATGTATCGAGTCGATTTTGGGTTCTCCTGCCACGGAAGGCGGAAATGGAAGGGGCAGTGACATGTCTCACGCGCCACGTCACCTCCTGCAAGCGGGTAACCCGCGGTTGTTCTGCCCTGCTGCATGTTTTCCGCGCCGTCCCATCTCAGAGCCTTGGGCCTTCGAACAACTGAGCGGGACGAGAGACCGATCCGGGGGAAAGCTCCCGTTCCTCCATGACCCCGGACCCTCAGCGGCATCCCGAGCCGCGCCCTCCGGGGCCAGCCGGGACGGCGTCCTCGACCTTGGACCCCATGCAGGATGGGCTTGGCCAAGATCGCGTGACCGGCCTCGTCCTCCGCTTCCTCCTCCTCCCCTCCTCCGCCTCCTCCTCCTCCTCCTCCTCCTCCTCCTCCTCCTCCTCCTCCTCCTCCTCCTCCTCCTCCTCCTCCCCTCCCCGAGGAGGCGGAGAAGCACGCCATGAGGCTCTCCGTGTACCACGAGGCCGGGAGCGAGGGCGCCCGCAGCGCGGTGGAGGAGGCCAGGCGGCTGGCGGACGTGGAGGCCATGGCCAAGCGCGCCGCGGAGATGAAGGTCAGAAAGAGCGCGTTCTGTGGTCGCTTGGAGGGGGGGTGGACAGACCTCCTACCCTGACATGTCGATTAAGGAATTGGCCGTTTTCGTTTCGCGAGAGGGCGCCGCGGTTGTCATTTTTGCGGGTCCAGGTCCGTCGGTTTCGGTCCCAGGCCGTTTTCACTAAAGGGAGGTGTGCTAAAGGGAGGTTTGCCCACCGCCGATTGGAGGGGGGGGGGGTGAAACCCGGACCCCCCCCCCTTGATGGAGGGGGGGGGGGTCGAACCCCCTCCCCTCCCCCCCCCCTCCCGTGACGGGGGGGGGTCGAACCCCCCCCCCTCCAGTTTCCGACGGTACTGAAGGTCAGTATCGTCGGAAATCGGAGCATGTGCGAATTTGAACGCAGGGTCGGAAAAAGCGTCGGTGTACAGAGCCCTTTTTTTCCTATATCGTTGAACCCCCACCATCTTAGCACCCCAGTTTGTAGAAACCCGAAGGAAACGGACGGCCTATATCCCCATTCCGGGGGGTAGATCGGCCAGAAGGGCTCGGGTCACGCCCACAGGGGACAGGGATCGGTCAAACGATGCCCAGAAGGTGACCAGGCAGCTGGCGTCGGACCGCGCCCGGGCCGCCAAGAAGGCGCACCGCGCCAGGGAGAAGGCCGCCGCCGCCGCGCAGGCGGCCAAGGATCGGGGGCGAGTCCGAGGGAGGAAGGCGAGAATCGAGCAGCGGCCCACCAAAGAGTCTTCTAAGGACCTGTTGTGGTCTGCACAACATGTTGTCAGAACATACCTGGCTGGGGCTGTCTTGGTTTAACACAGCGGGCTCCTGTTCTAAGAACACTGTTTGGGTTGTTCGAACATGTTTGGGTTCTACGAGAATGTCGTGGCAGGCCTACAGGAATGCCGGGACGGCCGGTCCCTGCTCAAAGAAGGGACGAGCCTTTCCAGAAGGCTCGGAAGCCCCTGGGCCTGCTGAGAAGTGTCCCAGGCCTTCCCCGAAGACGCAGATGGCTCCTCGGGAGGCCACGGGGCTCAGAGGAGTCCCGCCGCCCTCCGAGAAGACCTTCTCCCTCTCCTTTCCCCCTCCCAGATGCGATAAAACGCCTCCTCCTCCTCCTCCTCCTCCTCCTCCTCCTCCTCGAGTTCTCCTCCTCCTCCTCCTCCTCCTCCTTCTCCCTCCCCCCGCTCGCCTCCGAGAGGAGGCGGACAGGAAGGCCTCGGCGTCGGCCGACATCGAGAAGGACTGGCTGGACCGCACTCCGGGGGCATGGGGCGCCCGGGCGTGAAGGCAGGCGCCCCCCGGGGACGTGGCCGTCCACGGAGGCTCCACAGAGGCCTGCGCGCCGCAGCTCGCTGCCGCCCTCATGAAGGCTGGGCTTCTCGCGAGGATGCAGCACTGGGGCACATCATAGGGAGGGGGGGAGGAGGAGAGAGGGGGAGGGGAGGAGGAGGAGGAGGAGGAGGAGGAGGAGGAGGAGGAGGAAGAGGAGGAGGAGGAGGAGGAGATGGAGGAGGAGGAGAGGGAGGAGGCGGAGGAGGAGGAGGAGGAGGGCCATTGCAAACACAAGTCCCATCGATGATATTGAGAAACCCTCCCTCCAAGCTCTCTCCTCATACGCGCCTTCACGGGTGTCATTGAGGGAATTGCCCCGTCGGAGAACAGCCGTGTGAAAATCCGGAGTTGTGCCAGAGCGCCGTTCTCGGGGAACCAACGCCGCGAGTCACCGTCGTTGCTGCGTCTTGACGATCCAGAACTGTGCCAGAGCACCACGTTTGTGAGAGTCCCTGAAGCTCGTGCAAACGTTTACAAGACGAATGCGCGCGGTGCTACAGCAAGAGCAGCATTTTGAGCAGGAACCGCCCTCCATCGTGAAACTGTGCAATGTTGTGGAGACGGATGTGCGCGGCGCTAAAGCAATAACAACATTTTGGAAAGGGACCGCCGTCCATCCGCGAAGCTCTTGCAAACTTTCAGGACGAATGTGCGCGGTGCCCAGGCCAGAGCCACATCTTGAAAGCGGACTGCCCTCCCTCCGTGAGGGCTTTGCATATTTTGAAAACGAACACACGCGCGGCGCTCAGGCGAGAGCCACATGTTTTGATCCTGTAGGTGTTCAAAACGAGCGCGCTGCATGAAGGCGAGAGCCACCCCCACCCGTGCAGCTCTTGCAAACATAGAAAGCTTCAGAACCATGAGCGGTGAGGAGGTCCCAGGCGAAACGCTCGGCCCGCCCTTTCGACCGGCCCCCGGGCGCATCAAGGAGGAGCGACTTTTGAAGGGGCGGAGGGGGAGGAGGAGGAGGAGGAGGAGGAGGAGGTCGAATCCACTGGGGCTGGGAAGGGCATCGGCCACGAGCGGCGAGCGCATTCACCACCCACCAAGCCACCCCAACCCAACCCGAAGGCTCAGATTTACCCTCGATTTCCAGGGGGGGGGGCGGGAAACATAGAAAAAACACATGTGGAACTCTTGCCCCCCCAAACCCGAAATTCGGGTCTTCAGGTTGGGTTGGGGTTGTCTGGTAGGTAGTCATATACGTACCCACGCGCCCTCGCGGCCTGCACTCTGGGACGCGATGCCGTGGGCGCGCGGTCGCATGCACGCGTTCCGCGCGGGGCAGCCGCGAAGAAGGCCCCCGGCGTCCGCGGGGTCGCGGCCCAGGAGCCCGGCCCGCGTGGCCGTTGCTATAGACGTGCTTCCCGCCCACGAATAGGGCAGTCGGAGCATGGGGGGGGGGGTGAGGAGCAATCACCACCCACCAAGCCACCCCAACCCAACCCAAAGGCCCCGATTTGCCCTCCATTTCCAGCGGGGGGGGGTCTGGGAACATTGAAAAAACATATATGGAACCCGTACCCCCCCCAACCCGAAATTCGTGTCTTCGGGTTGGGTTGGGGTGGTCTGGTAGGTAGTCAGAGCAAGAGGGCAAGAGGACCGCGGAGAGGGATTTGCACAGAATGGCGAGAAGAAGGGGAGGGCGTGAGCTTCAGCATGGCGGCAACGGAAGCTCAGGTGTGCGCGGTCATCAAGCCAACGATCATCTTAAGTGCAGAGCCCGTGCAACGGGAGTCTCCGTGGGCCCCGAAAGGATCTATCGCCACGAACATCTTTCAATCAGAGTTTGTATTCGGTCAAGTTGATGTTCGAGGCTCTGGTATCAACGCGGTTGTGCCCGAACACAGACGAATTTCTCAGAGTCCATCTTGAACCCTCTTCGGGCCATATTGAGGCACTTTTAGGCCACGGAGCTCTTGGGCCTCGGTTGGGGCACGCTGGGGCTCTTCTCTGGGTGCCTTTGAGGCTCTCCTGTGCCCCTGGGCGCTCTCTGGGAGCGTTCAGATAACCAGCTAACTGGGACGACCGTGGGGCTGGGGCAAGCTTGGGCAAACGTGGCCGATCGTGGAGCCTATTAAATGGTTTGAACCAGTGGAAGCAAAATTTGGGATCGGCTATACCAAATTTTGCTCCCGAGAAGTGTGCTGGGTATGGGGCCTTCTTCTCCTCCGCCACCGCCCCCGAACCTGACTTGGCCCGCTGGGAGGGGAAACAGGAGAGGGGCACAGCAACATGTCTCACGCGCCGCCTCACCCCTCGGAAGCGGAGGAGGGCGGGATTCCCCGGTTGCCGTGCAAATTATCCGAGGCGGTTGTTTAAATTTGTACGCCCGACCTCGTAGGAGCTCAGCATTGGCACGTGTCCACGCTAGGTCCACGTTTTCGATCGCGCTTCCGCTTTATGTGTGAGCCCTGTGTTTTCTAAAATGCCGCAAGGCACCGTCTGGCAGCGCCTGAGCGCTTTTCCTGCACCAATGTCCTCTCTTTGCCCCTGTTGTCACCTTATCAATCCCATCCTGCCGTCTTATCCTCCAGCACTGGAGTCATGTGCGAAGGCACGCTGCAGCCCCACGCGGAAGTCGCCTCTGCAGTGTGGCGTCGCGCCCTTTCTCTCCTCCCGTTGGAGTCAGTTTTGACTCCCAGTGCCCGCGTGCACACGGGAGCGCAGGGAAACTCAAATTCTTCAACATTTCCCGGATGCGGGACGAGCCGACCGGCTGGTACATTCGTTTGAAGGACTTTTTATACACCCAGAGTTTGGGGACATGTCTCGCCCTCGATCGGAGCTGCTTCCATATCCCCCCGCCCCTCGGCGGCGTGCGTGTGGGGGGGGGCAATTGAGAAGGAGAAGGCCCTCTCAGAAGCCGGCGGCACGTCTCCGAAGCCCTCGCGCCCTCTGCGAGAGTCGTTGTGTGTCTTCCGGGAAGGCTCAGTACACTTCTCAGCAGGCCCGGGGGGGGGGGGGGCACTTCCGAGCCTTCCGAGAAGACCCGCCCCTTCTCTCACCTCCCCCCCGGGCTCGCCGCCGATCTTCTCTTCTACCCCTCCTCGTGCGTTCTTCCCCCAAGCGTTACGTCGGGCGTGTCCTTCTACAGGCGGATCTCGGCAGAAAAATTGGAATATATATATATATATGTATATATATATATATGATTTGCGCACAAAAAGAGGGAAGACATAGTAATTGACAGCATCAAAGTCCACTGCTTATTTTTGGGTTATTTTTGAATGTTCCCCCCTTTGGAGGGGCATACCCGACGTAAGCCAAGCGTTGACAGGCGGCCTGCCGCCCCGCTACCTCCCCCGCACCCGGACGTCTCGAGCCGTGGGCACGGCCGGCCACGAGGCCCCCCAAGGCAGCACGTGTGGCACTCGAGCAGGGGCGAAGCGTCCTGGCTCGCCAAAAGCCCTACCAAACATTGTTATGAGAACCTCTTGTGGCTTCCACGAAATGTTCTTTAGAACATGTCTGGCTGGGGCTGTCTTGTTGTAACACATCGGGTTTCTGTTCTAAGAACCTTGTTTTTGTTCTTAGAACATGTGTGGGTTCTGGGAATATTTCGTGGTAGGACTGTGGGAATGTCGGGACGGTCGGTCCCTGCTCAAGGCACGCCGCGGCTGCGCGGAACGCAGGGAGTCAGGCAGTGGCGAAGCGTCCCCGCTCAGCCGAAGAAGAGAAGAACGCCATAAACATAAACTTGTGGTGCTCCGCGGCAGAGCCCTTGGATCCGCGAAAGGGCCCGCCCTGGCGGCGCTTCAGGCGCCGTCCCTGGTACGCTCCGCGCGCCAGGAAGGGGGTTCCAGAGCGGATCCAAGCAATCCGCGCGGAGCGCCAAAGGCTTATGTTTATGGCGTTCTTCTTTTTTCGACTCAGGCGCGCCAAATAATGTACTAGGAACCGTTTGTGGTTTACGATACATGTTCTTAGAACATTTCTGGCTGAGACCCTCTTGTGTTCACACGTCGGGTGCTCCTTCTGAGGACACTGCTTATGTTCTGAGAAGTTTTTCGTGCTCAGACCATTTCGTGAGAGGCTTAAGTCGTGCCTGTCCCTCTACACAGGGAAAATTCAAAACAAACAAAAAAAAACATAGTCTGGGGACGGTTGTTGACTATTTTTGGTAATTTTTGGAATAGTTTCCAATTCTTTCAATTTTTTTGTTCGAAATCCTCCTGTAGGGGGCATGTCCGACCTAATGGTAGGCCTGTAGAAATGCCAGGACGGTCGGTTCCTGCTCAACCTCGGGGCAGACAATTTGCGAACGCACGCAGGTCTCAAGGAAGCTCGTGCGCCACGGCCGGAAGGCGACCGGAGGACCCCACGAGCTCCGGGAATTTTCCGCCTCAGGCATGCGAAGATCAGGAGGGAAAAAACACACAGACACAAGTCATCGTCGATCCCCTAGAAAATATGGGAATCTATGGGAAGTGAGGGTGGAGACAAAAATCCAGAAGACATAGGAACAGATGGGTAATCCTGTTATATGTGTTTATTCATTTGCGTCCCAGGACCCCTCCAAAGGAAACCAGAAGACCCCACGAGTTCCAGGAATTGTCGGCCTCGGGCATGCAAAGAGCATCTGCAGCCTTCAGCACAGAGAACTCGGAGGGACCTGAGGTCGCTCCACTTCGTGCCTCGTGCCGGATTCCCGCTTCCTGCCCCCATCCTCCTCGGAGTGTCGCGGGCTTGGCCCGAGAAGGAGGCCGTGCGGCCTTGTGCTACACGGAGCGCACCCTCGTCCCCTCCCTGTCACTGTCACCAGGGGGGCGCCAGACTTTGAAATCTCGGCTTGGAGGCATTGAGGCATGGTGTTTCTTCCCCGCCGCCTGTTGGCAGCGCAATTTAAGTGCAGCGCCGTGCCAGAGCACCTCTGGTCAAGCCTGGCCGCGTCCCGGTGTGAAAAGAGCTGACGCCGATATGTGTTATTTCTCGGTAGCATGGGATGCGCGC